GTGGAGAGGCCAAAACCCCAGAAGGCTTGCGGTTGTACCTGTAATATAACAAGAGAACATTTGAAAACATGCAAGATGTGCCACATAAAAGGCATATCAGATTAACGATATATAGTCACTTAGTCAAAGCCGGTGAAAGCGGATCCAGGCACTAGTACCTGCAGCTAACAAATGGAAAGTACATGAATAGCTGATGCCTAAAATAATATATGAATTCGGAAAAAAGATCTTATCCCACATTGCACATTCATGACATTTCTCCGCAGTACGCTTACATTGTATGTCGCTTCGTAATAAAGCATTGAGGACAGCGTTGTACTACCTAAGACCGTCACAAGAAGTCTTTATTGTATTAAAACATTTACAAATACGCAGACAAACGCATGGGTCTCGTAGACTTACGTCGTGTACGCTTGGCGCGTGAAGGTTAAAGCAATAATAACTCTTCCTTTGAGATTCAAAATTCCGCATGAAATACATTGTAAACAACGCATGGAAATATATTCTATTGTATTTTATCACTAAAACGGCCGTTATTGTAGGAAAACTAAAATCTGTGCTTGTCAATAGGGCTTTCGATGCCTTTTTTCGAGGCATTCGTTGCTAATGAAGTAATGGTGTCACGCGGATTCTCGCGTTCATTCGAGACCAAAATAACATGGCGCCAAACGCATTAGTGCAGACGCAGACGTAAGTTGCGAGTTTTTGTACAGTGCGTCGGATAACGAAAAGCCCAGAATGGCACACATTGTGGATATAAATGCATTTTTAACAAAAAGACGAATATATCTCATGAATCTTATATAGTGTTGTTGTTGTCTGCTTTTCCCGCGGTTTTAAGTAGGTCACCAGTGACTTTGCAATGTCAGAGAGAGCTCCGTCAGTTAAAATCTCTTAAGAGAGTTTAACAAAAAACCGTACGTTTAGGAAAAAAACCTGGATTAACTTTGAATGCAGGAATGGGGTCGTTGACCATTGTTTAGTACGGGAAAATTGCCGTTTTTTCCAGGAAAATCCAATTTTTGGCCAAAACGAAGAGTTATTATGGTGTACGTTCGCATATGCAGAGGGAGATAAGATATTTTGAGAATGCTCAAAATATTTCAGCGTATACAGGTAGGAGAGTCTAAGTCATACGTTACAAATACGCAATAGCTTAAATAGGCACACGGTAGAATGACATTAAAACGATATGGTACGTTTCTCTTACGGTGACCGATATAGCTGGTCTTGTAGCCCATGAGGAATACAATGGTCGCAAACAAGTAACCTATTGAACGAATCTGTAACAATCGATTAGCGTATTTAACGTATGCCTGACGCTTTTTTGGCGTTTCGTTCACATTCGTACCTCTTGTACGCAGGTGCGACAGGGCCTTCTATAAGACACGCAATTAATGTGTTTAGGGCTACAGCTGTTACAAATATTAGATTTTGAACATAATGACTTTCTTTTACAATCTTGCTCTACAATTGATTCCAACTGAAACAAATATACATCTCCTAAAGTTGTCATTCAGTTCAAAACATTCATCACCATATTTTTAGTCCTCATACATTTTTGGGTGGGTGGGAGCTCCCATGTTCACATGGAATTTTTACAGCCCTTAAACAGCCTTACCTTCAATAATTGTCATTTGGCTAAAAGGGTTTCTATCATGGTTATACTATCTTACACTTTCGGTATCATTCAAATTTATTTTCAGGTGTCTCCCACTCACCTTCATTTCAATTATTCAACAGAGCAATTTAAACGTAGTTTTATTTTCCCTTTCGGGTTATAAGAAATATTTCAGAAAATGAAAATTTCATGATTCTACTTTCTTTACTTTTGGTACACCGAAAAAATTAAAACCTTAAATCCAAAAATGCCCAGCCGGCCTATGTGACCTCTGACAATTGTGGGTGACAGTCATTTTTTTTTTTGTTTTTTTTTTTTTGGGGGGGGGGGG